ATTTCTAGTTATTTAATTTTAATTCCCATAGCGATTTTAATATTTTTCCTCATATTTAAAATTTTTTAACTTACTTTTTTTTATTTTACTTAAAAAAAATATTTTCTCACAGAAATAAAAATTTTAACAAAAAATTGAAAAGTACTAAGATTTTATGCCAAAATAAATGGTATTTATGGATGTGTCTACATACATTCACATATATGTATATACACACAATTTTGCTTAGCTTTGCAGTTATTTATTTTATTTTTTGTATTTTTTTGTTGCTACACGGCAGTTATGACAACAATGACCATTACGTGATGGCAAGCGCGCATGTTACTATGTGAATATACAATAATATGTAAGTATATGTACATATGCAGAGGCATGTATGTGGCAACAGTCATTTAACTGCTGCCAAAAAGGGTTAACAATTCCACGCTTTTGCAATTCAGGCATTTCAAAGAAAGCAAGTCAACTGAAGTCAACAATTTAACAACACTAAATTCTCAAGCTTACTCAGTGAAAAGTACAAAAACTACAAAAAAAAAACGTTCATATGTATTTATGTTTGTACAGAAAATTACCATTGACAATTGGCAAATGTGTTTTGTAAGCGTAAAAATTTCTCAAATTGCCGAGAAATTGCAGAGAAGAAAAAATACAAATCAAAAAAAAAAAAACAAAAAAAAATTAAAAAAATAACATAAAATAAAATGAAATAAAATAATGAATTATACTAAACAAAATAAAAACAAATAAATAATTAAAAACAAAGTAAAATAAATACGAATAACATAAAGTAAAACCAAAATTAAGGAATAAAATAAAATAAATATAAATTGTAATATAAAACAAAAAATTAAATAAGTATAAGTAAAATAATAAAACTAAAATAAAATTTAATAAAAGAAAATAATATTAAACAAAACATAATATATATTTAAATAAAATCACAGATAAAAAATAAAATGAAATAAAAAATAAAATCAAATAACGCGAAATAAGATAAAATAAAGGAAAATAAAATTAAATAAATTTATTTAATTTAAATAAAATGAAATAAAGCCAAGAATATGAAATAAAATACAAAAAATATTTAAATAAACTAAAATGAAATATAAAAATAAGAAAATGAATTTATTTAAAATTAAATGAAAAATAACATAACATAAAGTAATATAAATAAAATGAAATAAAATAATACCAAATGAAATAACATAAAAAAAATTAAATAAACCAAAATGAAGTAAAGTAAAATGAAATAAGTTATAAAAAAATATATAATAATTTAAAATAAATTTATATAAAATAATATAAATAAAATTTAAAATAAAATAAAATAAAATAAAATAAAATAAAATAAAATAAAATAAAATAAAATAAAATAAAATAAAATAAAATAAAATAAAATAAAATAAAAACTACAGCACAGGAGAAGAAATGAAAATAAAAACTAAAACAATTTAAAATTAATAATTAATAAAATCAAGGAAAGAAAATAATAGAAAAATAAAATTAAGTGAAATAAAATAACGTTATAAATATAATAAAATAAAAAGTAAAATAAAGTAAAATGAAATAAAATATAATATAAATGTAAAGAAGAAAACAATAAATATGAAAAAATAAAGTGTAACATGAATTAAGTAAAATTAAATAAAAAAAAAATAAAGCGACACAATTAAATTAAAAAAAGCGACGCAAAATCTTCTAATATGAATTAACTTAAACTTAATTTTGTTTTAATTTGAAGAACAATAAAATATTAAAAAAATTAATAAAAAAATAATAAATAAAGAAAATATCATTTAAATGAAATAAAGCTCGAACTACAATAAAATAAATCAAAAGCAATAAAAACAAATAAAACAAAATAAAATAATTATTACAAAAATAAATTAAATTAAATAAATATAACATAGATTAAAAATGAATGAACTAAAAGAACAATTATACTTAGAATTACATTTTATAAAATAAGATAAAATAATATACTAAATAAAAAACTTTTTTTTAACGAAACTAAATAACTTTTAAATAAAATAATTAAATAAAAGGATATTAAAATATATTAAATTAAATAAAAACTAAAAAAAAAAACAAAAAAAATTAAGTTAAATTCAGATAAATAAAATTAAAACTAAACAAAATTAATAAAAAAAAATAATGAAAAATATTGAAAATGAAAATTAGAATAAATATAAAAATATAATAGCCAAAGCGGTGAGCGATACTGACTCCTGAGGACAAGTTTTGGCGCCATTCGCATAAGTGGTGTCACAAAAAAAAAAAATTAATACGGTTATGTCCCTGAAATTTGTCATCAATACGGACAAAGAATCTTAAGTAATATTAAAAAAAAAAGAACAAAATACACTCATTTTACGATTGCTTACATTTCCATTTCCCATACATAATCAAATAGACTTTTATGTACGAAATGTACACGTATGTATGTATGTCTGTACATTCGTTAGCAATTAAATACATTATATTATATATTTGCATTTAGATAACTTGACCCACTTTTTTATAGTTGACACTACCAAATCTCTGTTTTGTATCAGAGGCAACACCTAAGGCAACACCCAAAACAAAAATATCAACAACAACAAGCTAGCGAAATAAATAAATAAATAAGTAAATAAACAACCTGGCAAATTAACAAAAGCTTTCATTCATTGAGTTCTATTGACAATGAGTTCACTTTCAGTTGGCGTTTTAACATTAATTGCAAATACAATAAAAACATCGTAACGAACTGTCTTTGTATTTGATTTTTTTTTTGCAAATTTTGCACAAAAATTCTTAGAATTACATTTGCAAATAATACAATAATTTAATATACAAAATATTAAAAAAAAATTAACCATGAAGATATGACACCAAAACGCAAAGAACCTTCACTACATTTGAAAAATAAATAGAGAAAAATTAAAAAAATATTTAAAAGATTAACATGAAAAATCATATGATAATCAACAAATTTAATTTGGAAAGATTTAATGTTAACCTTGTTTATTTGCTGAGTATTTATTAAAATATTTTCAAAATTGACTGGAATACATCACGGTATTATGCACAATTTTTACTGAACTTATAATACTTTTATATTCCAAATAGAGAAATCTTAGTGAAAAAAAAAAAAACCGTATTTCAGACATCGCGATGGTTTTTAAAATAAGGTAAAAGAGTTTACAAGCTTTTCGGAGAAGATCGAGAGGACATAACTCACTACAGCACATCAACTACCTCAACAAATGTTGAGAAGATGAAGAGAATCGTTATGGAAAATCCTCAAATGACTATCAGAGAAGTTGCTGAGGATTTTAGCATATCTGTTGGCTCGTGTCGATCCAAGCTTTTTGAATTTTGGCCAAGTATGAACAATGCTCAAGCCATTATATTCACCAGATTTGGTCCCATTCGACTTTTTCCACATTCTAAGACCGAAAAAACGTATGCAAGGTTGGTACTTTAGAATGATTGACGAGATAAACCTCGAATCGTAGAGCAAGCTCCAGATCCTACCAAGAAGTGTATTTTAAAAATGTTTCGAGTATCGGAAAAGTATTGAGTGTTTTTTTTACCTGAGGAGGAGGACTGCTTTAAAAGGGTAAAAAAAATCAAATAACTAATTTAATATTTTTGTAATGAAAATTCGCCTTATTTTTGACATAAACTTTTTGGAATAAAATTTATGACTGTGCTCAAATAAATAAAAATGTTAGTCAATAATTACTGCGATATAAGCTTTAAAATTGTAAAAGAGAACTTGTTCTAGAACATTCTTGCAGAATACTGCTCATAATAATACCACGAACTATTTTCTCTGACACTATTGCTCTTCTTCCTTCCACTTGCTCTATCTAATGAATTTTATAATGCCTTCTCTTCCTCCCTGTCATTCCTGCAGCTCCGCCAGTATTTTCAGAAAGCCTTAGTTTTACTGCATACTGTCCTATAGGGCAGTATTCTATAAAGATTTCATTTATCTTTGAGAAGTGAACACAACAAAGACCCGAACCAGAGATAGTCTATTCCGTTCAGTTATCTTTTCAGATCTTTGGAATCAAGTGTCATAAATTGGCTACGAGTTACCAAAGCGCAAACGGAGCGGTCTGTGCTACTGTATACAAAGTTATAAGTCCGTTGGCTGACAGCTCCACTGTTTCTGTTCTTTTAAGGGATTATTTTTAGAGCTTCATTTAGAGTGATCCCAAATGCACCACTAAAAAATCCACACTTGACTGCGGACCACTATACCGCTGCATCATATAGTATAAGAGAATTGACCTTAGCCTGGGTACGAAAATGCAGCTATTAATTCTGGAACTTGAGCAACACGTTTTACAAACAACTCGTTCATAGGTCTACAGAGCGATGGAGACCTTCTAATGTCACTATTAATATGATCTTTTCAACGCAATTTTCTCTACAGAATCACACCCAAAAGTTCACCTTGGCTGCTAGACTTAGACGTACACCGTTAAGGTTTGATGGACTAATATGTCTTGCTGAAGTGGACAAGTTCCGCCTTATTTGAGTTATTGCTGAGTACAAAGCGGTTAGACCACAACGATAGCTCCCGAAGTATTCCCTGCCTTAGATCATACAGGGTTTGTGAAAGCTTGCCTTTGAACACTTTGTGTATGTAGTCGGCGCTGGCAGCACTCCGCCATCATGTTTCATTAAGAAAGACGATCAACGTGAGATTCCAGAACATGGTTGAGTGAACATCGCTCTGAAGTGTTCCTCTGTTGACATGCCTGGATACCCGATATTCCCCAAACCCCGTCAACATGAATGTATCGAAGAGGTAGCCAGCTCTTTAGCCCTCAAGAAAATAAACTATTCAAAGAACAATGACACTGAAGTGCGGTTATTTCTTTCTCAATAAAATCTATTTTTACTTTTCTAACATCAACTTGCAAAAAGCACAAGCTCTCCACGGTATTCCTTCCTGTCCGAGTCGACGAAGTATACATATTTACGTAAACCTCTTTGCCTACCTTTTTGCAGCATTTGCTGTTGTTGTTGCTGTTGTTGCTGCTGCTGTTGTTGATATAAATGGTGATGGAGTTCACGCCATGGCTGCCAAAACAAACTATTCGCCACATTCGAATTGTTTTGTTGATCGCGAGCATGCATTAGTTGCGCATGCGCTGCCGCATGTGCCGCCTGTTCGACGGCTTGTTGGTGCTGCAGGTGATGCGGATGCGCATGCGAAACTTGGTGTGGATGTTGATGCTGGAGATGATGATGATGATGATGTGGTTGTTGTTGTAATTGCTGCAGATGCGCCGCTGATGGCGGTGGTAGCGTTAGGGGCAGCGAGAGCGGCAGCGCCGCAACATGTTGAAGATGCATTTGTGCTGCAGCGGCAATGGAGGAGGCAGTCGTTGTGGGCGCTGCTGTTGTGCCCACGCGACTTAACGCCAGCTGTTTTTGTTGTTGTTGTTGCTGCTGCTGCTGAGCCAAATGTTGTTGCAAATGCTGCATATTCTGCTGTGCGGCTATTGCAGCTTGCGCCACCGAGAAGTGCAGAAAATGACGCGGCGATTGTTCTTGTTGTTGCTGGTGTTGTTGTGCCATCGCCGACGGACGCTGCGACGGCTTATGTTGTTGTGTTGATTTTTGCATTACTTTCTGTTCACCATTAATTGTTGTGGTTGCTCTTTCTGTTGTTGTTGTCGTTGTTGCTGTTACTGCTGCTGCAGGTGCTTCCTGATCATTAGCCGCCGGCGGATAATGATTACTGCTACTATTGCTATTACTATGCGTGCTTGTAGTTGGACTGATTGCAGGCAGTGCGGTTCCGCCGACCGCTGTTGCAGCGCTGCCACCAACAGCAGATGCTGGTGATGAAGCGAGCGATGAAGCGGCCGAGGAGGAGTTGGAACGTGAGTTGGCAATGGATGAAGTGGTTGATGAGTTGTTGGTAGTCAAGCTGTTGTTGTTGTTGCTAGCGCTGCTGCTGCTGCTGCTGCTAGTAGATGTATGATTCGTTGAATGCGCGCGTGCAGCGGTGGCAGCGACGCGCTCATATTGCTTGATATGATTGTAGTAGTTCTGTTCGAACGCGTTCAAAAGCAGATATTCCATTTTGACGTTGTTGAAGTGTTGGTTGCGAAGAAATTTTAGAGATTTTGGTTTTGTTTTTATTTCTTTGTTTTGTTTTTTTTTTTTTTACTTTTAAAACACTTTAGGCAAGTTGTACGCCATTTTTATTAGAGATTTTTTGCATAAATTTTTCAATAATTTATAACAGACTGTTTGGTTTGTTTTGAATTTTATTTTATAATATTTTTCACTTTAATAATTCGTAGTTGAATTTTTGAGCCTTAAAAATAAATAAATTATATATTAATTTTAATTCAATTTAATTTGCTATTAAGTATTTTATATTGTTTTGTTTTTCCCCAGTTTTTTTAATAAGTTTCATAATTTATTATCGCTTTTTTATCATAATTTGTTGGTTTTTTTGTATTTTTTTTATTAAACACACATACATATTATTTAATAATTTATTTAATATTTATTATTTTTTTAATTTCAAATATCTAAACGTTAATAAATTTTTCAAATTTTATTCAATGTTCATATTTTTAATAATTTGTAAGTTTTCCGTTATTTATTTAAAGTTCATATATTTATAATTTATTGTATTTTTTTTAATTAAATATATATTTAATAATTTTCCTTAGTTTATTTATTATTATAAAAATAATAATAATAATAATTATTATTATTATTAAACTCAGTTCATTTAACAATCATTATTATTTAATATTCATTATTCTTCGGATTTTTTGATTTTTAATTAGTAAAATACATATGTATTGATTTTCTATATTTTATTTATTATAAATTTTTATTTTTTTTTTCGTAAAATTACATTAATTATTTTTACTTTCTCCACTTAATCATACGACTATTGTCGTTTTCAAATAAAAATAACTAATAAATGAGAAAAAATGTTATAAAATATATTTTAAAAAATATTTAAAAAAATATTCTATTTTTGCAATTCATCGCATTGTCGTCATATTCTGCATCGCAGACGTGTCAATCTGTCGTTTTTTTAACTCTTCTCTACCTTCACATAAACATACATATGCATATGCATGTACATATGTATGTTTGTATATAAATATAGCAATAGTTTTTCACGAGTTTTTGAAAGTTCACGATTCATTAGATTTTTTTGTTGTGTTTTAAACATTCAAATGCTGCTTAAATGTACAAAATATTGTAATATGTGAAAACGTGCTATGCATATTAAAATAGTTTACAAAAAAAAAAAAAACAAAAAAAAAAAACAAATAAGAATAGCAAAAAATATTTGGCGTCAGCGAGACATTACAACACATGGCCATAGAATTGTGACAGCGAATTTGAGAGCGAAACTCTTTCGCAATTCAACAAAAAACAAAAAAAAAAATGTCGGGCCAACTTGGAATTTGACAGTTTTTTGGTTGAAAAGTTTGCTTATAATTGTTTTTAAAACATTTTTTTTTATTTATTTATATTAGATTTATTAATCCTTAAGTGCGAATAAATTATAAATTTAATACCAACATATATGATCAGAATGTCGAGTTGTTCAGATATGAGTTCTTGAGTCATAAATTTGTCAAAAAAGCATCTAGAGCATGAGCATCTAATAATGAATTACACATTGGTACTGAAAATCAATGATATCGGACAAATTTATCATATATGAGTGCAGAATTCTCGAACCTATTTTTCAGATTTTAGAATTAATAATTAATCCTAAAATGAAATAAAATAAATTTGATTTAGTTATAACAGTTATAAAGGCTTCGGCATGGTCGAGGACGCTTATTTTTTTCTTTAATTCAATTTTTTTCTTGTATATTATTTCCTTGTAATTTATTTAAATTTGTTTCCTATATTTTATTTTAACCTATTTTATTTTAATTAATTTTACTATATTTGATTTGAATATATGTATTTTATTTTATGTAAATCAATTCGTTTTCATATTATTTCGCCTTACTTTATTTGCAGACATCTTTATTTATTCGAACATATATTAGTTTACTTACTTTTATTTTTTTATGTAATAAAATTTTACATTTTTTTATTTTATTTTGTTTAATTTAATTTAATTTTTTTACTTTAATTAATTTTGCTTTAATTTAATTTTCATAAAACTTTTTTTTTTTTTTTTTAATATTACTTTATTTAATTTTTTAATGTAACTCAATTTTAAATTTATCATTTTATTTTAGTGTGTTTTTATTAATTTATTTTTGTTAATTTGTTAAGTTAAACATAATTTTAATTTGCTTTATTTTTCATTTTAGTTAGCTTCATCATACATTACTTCATTTACTTGTCTTTTTATTTAATTTTATTACTTTCATTCGCTTCAATTTATTTTTATAATTTTAATTTAATTTAATTTAATTTATTTATTTTTTTTCATTTTGTTAAATTTTGTTTACTTTTGTTTTATTTTATTTTGTTGTGTTTTGTTTGACTTTGTGTTGCTTCCATTATATAATATTTGATTTATTTAAGTATTAATTTTTCAGTTTTTACGAATCTTTTGGTATATTATATTTTTCTTTAATTTGCTTTGAATTTTAATTATAGATTTTAAGTTTTATTTTTTCTCTCACTTGACTTTTCCCATTTTGTTTTATTTAATTTATTTTAATTTTATTTTTTTCTTATTTTATTTTAGTCTATATTATTTAATATAATTTTATTTTTTAATTTTGCTTTTCTTTATTTTTGTTTAAATTGGTTTTATTGCGATTTTATTTTATTTTTATTGCGTTTAATTTATTTTAATCAAAATCAAGTTAGTTTTGATTTCTTTTTTATTTCATTTACTTCTTTTTCCATTATTTTTTTTTATTTCATTAAATTTCTATTATATTTTGTTTTTTATTTGAGTTTGATTAACATTTTATTTCAATTATATTTGTTTTACTTTATTTTATTTTGTTTCTTTATTTTCGTTATAACTTATTTGCTTTTTGAATATAATTTATTTTTATTCCATTTTTGTATTGTCAGTAGTTTTAATTGTTTCAATTTAATTTTTCAATTTAAAGTATTTTAACTCAATTTATATTATTTAAATTTTAAAATTGGAATTTTTGTTTCATTTTATTTTTATTGCGTTTTATTTGTTTTTTTTTTTTAATTCTAAATCTTTTTATATTATTTTATTTTTATTTATTAATTTTTATTTTCTATTTTTTATTTTTTATTTGTTTTTATTATTTTAATTTGATTTTGTATTATTTTAATTGATTTTATTTTTTGTTTTTATTACATTTAATTTAATTTTTGTTTACTTTGTATGATTTAATTTCATTTTATATGGTTAGTTTATTTTTGTTATTATTTTATCTTTGTTGTGCTTTATTTTATTTTAATGTAATATTTTTTATTTTTTTTTTAAATCATTCAAATTATTTAATTGATTACTTTTATTCTTATTTTGTTATTTTGTTTCCATTTTTTTATTTTATTTCTTTTTATTTATTTTAAATTGTTTAAATTTTTAATTATATTTATTTTTATTTATATTTTTACTTTTTTTGTTTCTATTTTATTTGAATTAATTTAAATTTAATTTAATGATTTTTTATTTATTTCACTTTATTTAATATTTTTATTATATATAGGACTTATTTGTATTACTTTGTTTTATATAGATTGGTTCATTTTTTTAATTGCTGTTTTACTAATAAATTTAATTTTGTGCAATTTTTAAATTGTATAATATTTGTTATTAAACTGCTTTCATTTTAATTTCAAACTTTTTTTCATTTTTATTTTGAGTATATCCATTTTTCATTGTTTTCTCCCGTTCGTTGATTTATTAAATCATTTTTGATACATTTCTTAGTTTTTTTTATATTCAAATTTTCAATAAGATTTATAATTTCCAACCATTTCTAGGTTCATAGTTCATAACTCATTTTATTTTTTATTAATGTTTATTCAGTCATATTTTTATTTCTAACCATTTTTATTACAATTTTTATTTATTTATTGCTTTGTGTCATTTTTCGTCACAAAAAAAATAAATATAAAATATATATAAAAAAAAAATAAATAAAAATATTAAACCTGCGGGGAGTCACATTAATATTTATTCAACATTTCACTATATGCAAACGTTTATCTTTTATTCAGACGCTTATGCACAACATTTGATGTTGCAGTGACTTCAGATATATTCACACAAATACACGGACAAACATAAATACTGTATATATATTGTAGTCGATGGCGGCACTCTTGTCTGGCTTTGGTTGCAAATTTCATTTAAATAATTAAAAAAGTGGAAAGAAATAAATAAAAATATGTTTATACAAAAAAACGATATAAAAAAAAACAAAAAATAATTTGCGTATAATTTGCATGCAATGCCAGTCACATGAAGTTGCCTTTTGCTGACTTGACTGACAGCCGTCTGTCTATGTAGTCTATTTAGTTATCGACGCATGCGCGCATTTGTAAGTACCCTGCACGTATATACGTACATTACGTACATAAGTGTGTGTGTGTAAAGAATAATAACGAAGCAGTCACACTATGATACATATATTTTGTATTAATTTTTTCTTTTTGTTTTCTCAATCAATTACACTTTGCCTGAACTTGAGTGTGGGTTTTCAATTACAAAGCGCATATGTTGTTGTTATTTTTATTTAGAAAAAATTGTGAAAAAATATCGCGAAAGCAAAGCAAGTACATACATCCGCCGAATGCTGAGTAACTGTAATCGCTTGAAGCGACTATATTTGCTTTTCACTGTACGTATGTATGTATGAGTTTGCCATTGCAATTGCACTTGCAAGGGAGTCCGTCCGCACACATTCGGCACTGTCGTTGGGTCAGGATTATCGTTGAGACGTTGAATTACCAGTTGGCATAGATGTGATGTGAAGTCGATGCGAAATAAGGTTAAACGGAAACTGAGTTGTTTGCGTTACGCGGTCAACCGGCGACGAAGCGTTGATATGATGATAGTGACGACGTTCACTTAAGTACGCGTTAGACACACAAAAAAAAAAAACAAACAAAGTCGGTTAGCGCAAAGCTTCCAAAAAAGTTGCTGGTTTTTTTTTTTTTTTGAAGACTCATTCAATTCACTTTCTTCACAAATTTTTCAATTCACAATTTATATGTATATATTTATCACTACTTCTTTGTTGGTCTGAGCTGCAAACTTGCCGAGCGCACTAAGCAATCATTGATTTTTTTCACAGCAAATATTTTTTATTTTTTATTTCTCAAAACGTTTCAAGAATACGCTTTCGTTTATTCCGCCATTTCGTGCTTTATCGAGCAGCTACAAACCGAAACTAAGCTCGACACAATGAGACGATCTTTCTTCAAGTGCCACACTAGCGCAGCTCAGTCAAGCACAAGACAAGTCGCGCCAAGTCAAGACCGACAAGCCTTTTTCAGCGCGCTCAACAGCAACAACAACCATAGCAATAACAACAGCAACAAAAACAACAAAAACCAGCTAGGAAACGATGTTGGAGAGCCAGTCGTGTAGAAGTCTCCAAGCTGCGAATGGCGCTCAGCGCTTACGATCTAGCGCGCTTGTTGCCGCCTGTACATTAGTTTACGTTTGTTTACGTTTGCTGTCGTCTATACTTTATTGTTTGCGCGTCGCTTTGCATGAGTCAATCAGGCAGTGGTGCGCGATATGTGCAGGCTTCTTGAAATGCATACATAGACACTCTAGACGAATATTAGGCCAGTCACCGCTGCATTTTAAGCCACACTTCCCGTACGTGCAAGCGCCCGCGCTCGTCGATCTCTCTGCCTTCAAAAGTCTCCAACCAATATGAAATTCAGTTACCTAGTTCCGCTTATGTTGGCGCGTCGTCCGCTTGTATCTACTATATCTGTATCTACTCAAGCTTGTACATATTCTTATGCTCGATTGCGAAGCTCTTAACGCTTTGCTCTTTATTTCCAAATCGCGCTCACCATTCACGATGTAGAGTGCTGCAAAAAAGTTGCTTTTCTTCTACGGGCGTTCGCTTAGCCGCTAGATATCTATTCATCGGACGTTTGCCGTTGCGATCAAATTGATTTTTTTTTCTTCTTATTTCTATTCATTTTTCTGAATTCTTCCTTTCATTTGTGTTTTGCATTGCGCGTTTTTCGCTTTATTTCTCCATCCATTTGCGTACTCTGGACTTTGTTTATTTTCTTTTATTTGCTATCTATTTTCGCCAATTCATTTCTGTATTGTGGACTTCGCTGTTGAGGTTATGCGTACGAGGTCCGTTTAGTAAGTTTAAAGCGAACAATTTTAGGCACATTCATTTAATAGCGATTCGGGAACCATATTTATCAAGAAAACCTGGGAGCGTCACATCTTCAAATCCGCCAAATTTCTAAAATGTGCCTTTTATGTATTCACTGCACTCTTTTGTTTTCTCTAGAAGAAGATGAACCTTAAAGGCAGTCAAAGGTGTTTCGAGTTTAGATCCCTTGCAGTTTCTACCAAGCTCCTCTAATGGAATTTATTTCATTCGGGCTAAACAAAGATTCCGTTTTCTGCGAGGATGACTTATTTCTCTTCTATGCACTTCCGAACGGCACGAATTAGAAAACTAATTTAGGTTATGGTGGCTGCCGCTGTGTAGCATCAATTGCACTTAGGCTCGAAAAAAATCCGGAAGAAAGCCTATCGATTGGGCTTCGCTAACCATACTTTGACGTCGGCTACCTTGGAAAGAACATCCAGAAATGTTGGTATCAACGTTCCGAAACTTAGGACTGCACAAAGCAGTGTAGTGGCCCTTCAGGACTACTAAATCGCTAATGGCATGCTAAATTAAGTCATCAGAAAATCTTATTAGATCACCTCTTCTCATCTTAACGACCGATCCTCGTACTATGCACGCTTTTTTTGCGAGTGTATCGCGAAGTTTTCATTTTTATTTATTACTCTATTATATTATTTGTTATTTATTGCTTATTAGTTTTTGTTTTAATTTTATTTCTTCTTCCGTCCCTTCATATTAAAGTTTATTTGTTCGCTGACTCGTACGGATCAGCGTTTTGATCGTTCGATCATAAACGATCAACTCGTTCCTTTTGCCATGCCACGCCACGCCACGCCACTCGCTGTGCTGTTTTGCTATTTTTTTTTTTTAATTACAATCGTTTTTTATACCTTTCACAAACACGAAATTGGTTCGTTGAGTCGGAGTATATGAATTTTGGATTTCTTCGAAATTCTATGGAACGAATATTGATCCGCTGAAACGCCAGTCAATGCGCACCGAAGACCCCTTTACTACTGCTGCGGCGAGGAGCGTGGAGGAAGATCCGACTGACTCCAACCACAATTAGAGATGTGCCCTCCATTTTATGCAAGATTTTGCGGAAGGATTTTTTTTTACTGCCTCCTTACAGAATCCACCTAGTGCAAGATATGGAGTCGAGCCAGCAGCGCCAGTCACTACACAAAAATTGTTTTTGGCCATAATATTAAATTTCATTCATTTTATTTCCGAAAAATAAATACCCTGAGCCTTCCATCGTGAAGGGCATACAAAAAGCGTACGGCTTACCCATAGACAGCAGCGTTTCTTGCTTGTTACTATTATTATTGCATTTTTCTTTCAACAAGTCAATCAGACAGCAAGATTTTTTTCTTATTGATTCTCTATTTAATATTGAGTATGACGGTGTTGTGTTGCCTATGGAGTTGGCCTTTCCTCTTGCCTGACAGCTTATCGTGTTGTTGGCCTTTCGCTTTGTGTATATATTTCACTCACCTCGTTTTCATATCGATTGTGATCTTTAGCTTGATTTCTTATAATTTTTTCTTTTATTTTCTTTAATTTCTTTAATGCTTCTTTCTATTTTGTTTTTATATCTTAATTTTTTTTATTTCTTATTTATTTTAATTTCTTACTTTTTTTTTGCCTGCTTCCAAGCAAACGGTTTCAATTTCGAGTTCAACAGCATTTGGAAACCTACGCACATGCATATCTACATAACATACATATTCAGCTAGATAAATGTTACATTGTTGTTCTTCTGCATTTACATATTCAAGATTATTTCACTTTATTTATGTCTTGATTTTATTTGATTTTTGATTTTTATTTGCAGGATTAAAAAATTTTTATTTAATGAATTTGCGTTGGCGCCAAATCCAGTTGCTATGAAAGTTTTGGCATAAAATTATAATCTATATTAATATAAATTTTTAGTAGCTTCCTAAAAATAACCAAACCAAATTTGGTAGCTGAAAAAAATTTGGCATAATTTATACGAATTTCACTAGCTGCTGGTATAATATTTCAGCGATTAAGCGTAGCAGTTCATTGCTCTGTGTTGCCGAAATGTTCAGAAAATGGTATAATGGCCAATGGTCGCCTGAATATGGGGAATGCGGCATGATTTCCCAATTTATCTCCTTCAGTTTGGCCAGGGTCGGTTTTGCAACATGTGGCCTGGCGTTGTCATGATGGAAAAGAACTCCTTTGCGATTGGCCAAAATCGGACGTTTTTCATCAATTGCTTTCTTCAATTCGACCAATTGCTGACAATACTTGTTGGCAGTGATCGTTTCTCCAGCTGGCAAGAGCTCAAAATAGATCACGCCTCGGATATCCCACCAAATGCACAGCAGTACCTTCATCGGATGCAATCCACCTTTCGACATCGGTTCCGCCCCTTCGTGTGCCTGTTTCCATGTTCTTTTGCGTTGAACATTGTTGTACAGGATCCATTTTTCATCACCAGTCACGAGCCGATCCAAAAAAGGTTCGTTTTTGATCCGTCGAAGCAAAGAAATTGCTGTTGACATACGGTCCACTTTGTTTTTTTCACTCAACTGATGTGGCACCCATGTATCGAGCTTCAAAGTGTACCCAACCTTTTTTAAACGACGAAACGCAGTTGATTTGTTGACGTTCAATTCACTGGCAACCTCTTCCGTCGAAATACGTGAGTTATTCGCAACTAAAGTCCTTAGAACATCGTCATCAAGCTCAGAAGGCCGTCCACTGCGAGGTTGATCTTCGAGGTTAAAATCTCCAGAACGAAATTTCGCGAACCATTTCTTTACTGTGCGGAGTGCTGGAGCACGGTCCAAATAAACTTCGCGAATATCTTTAGTTGCAGCGCCTACTGTTTTTCCTTTGCGGAATTCGTATAACATAATATGACGCATATGATCTTTTTCGTTGTCCATCTTCCATGCGTCTTTTCACTAAGCAACTCAAATCAAAATGAAGTTATTTTATGCTTGATTTACAGTTCGGACTGTCACCTTTCCAACGATATATAATATGTATATATTTCTTTCACGAGCGCCACTCTCAAACGATTCGAACGGCATCCAGCGGAATCGGGCACGAACTTATGCACTCATCCAATATTTATAGACAATACTAGTTTAATATTTTATTTACTTGAAAGTTTCCTCTACAGGATTGTATCTCTTAAAATTGTATAGATTTTATCATTGAAAACATTTTTATTTCCAAAACGGAAATAATTCCTGGATTTAGTTAAGTTTAAAAGTTTTCAAAGAATTAAATACCAACTTTTACCCAATTTAATTAGATTGAAACATCTCAAAGTCTCTCACTATATCCATAGAATTTTTAATTGTTTTTGCATGATTACTCAACAGCGATAATGAGCCCCTTTAAAACCGCAAAAAATATGGCCCTAACAACCACGTCATAATAAACAATTAAACAAAGCGAATGGGATCCGATAGAGAGCCAAAAAAATCTAAATTATATATTCTTCTTTACTGACCTAGACACAGTTTATACGATTTTAGTTGAATTAATACGAGCGCGCCTTTAATTCCTGCTTTTCGCTGTTTGACGCCAATTTTAAATGCCAAGTGTAATCAGTTCCTTCAAATAAAGTTCCTCATTTGAAAAACCATCAGCCGTTTGGAGGCGGCTTAGTATAAACTGTAGGCCTTTCCATTTGTTGGAAAATCATCAAGACGCAAAACCAGAAATTGGAGGAGGAGCTCGGCCGAAAATCGCTTAAGCGCTTATGAAGCGCCAATTATATGATCCGGCCCTTCCTTTTCCAAAGAAGTATAGGTCTACCTCTTTTCGGCTTCCACCGGCGAATACGGCATAGAAAACTGTGAAAGCTAGAATATTCTTATCGCTGTCGTCGTTTAGCTCGAACAGCTCAGTGTTCTATATACTGCAGTGCTCGCCGTTCCCAACTCGCAACGTACTTAAATCGTTCACTAAATTCTTCACTCGAAGCATCCCTGAGTCGCTTCATTAGATGTTGTCAGCGTCCCTGCCACCGTACCATATACCAGAAAGGGAATTATGAGCGACTTGTAGAGTTTAGTTTTGGTTCATCAAGACCCAAGTAGCACCTGTTGCCTAGTGTGTTTCTGCGTTGGATTTCAAGGCGGCCGATAACATACATGGTGTTACTGCTGATTCCAAGATAAACGAAATTATCTACGACCTTGAAGTTAGGACTTCCAAGATCGATGTGGGAGGCAGAGTCGCGAATGCTAGAACTGATTGTTTGATGACTGGAGACATTTTACCTTTGTCTCTAGTCGCACGATAAGGAGTCACATTGAATTGATGGTTTACAACGATTCTGATGAACTTTTGAGCGGGAATATCGAATACAAACATAGTGGCGTTGAGGCAGCTCTTTTTCGTGCTGTAAAAATCAATGAAGTCGTGATGTGTGGGTGTCGATATTCTTTTAGTGGGGTCCGCCTCTATGTAGATTGGGCAGAATATTCTTATATTCCAATCAGCGGACATCCTTTCGTTCGACTAAATTCTCCAAAGAAGCTGTTACATGTCCCCTCGCCGCTTCAGCGTTTTTTGTGGTCCATAGTTGTCATGTGTTTTATCGTCATCGATTGCCAAATCGGATACGGCAATTCCTGGCGTTCTATTATCTATATATATCTTTATGGCTCGATAAACTCAATATACTCTGACCATCAGTCGCTAGATCACCTTTTGTTTTCTCTTTATGTGGAATATTTGATCACTATTCCTGTCGGCCAGCTTCTGATGCTCTTCATAGTCATGTATGTTAATCTCTTTCTCGGTAGAGATCACACTAACGGCGTGTAGTAATTGGTCATAACGTTGTTTTCTCTCCCCCTCTTATTGAACCAATAGTTTCGCTTGCAGCTGTACGCTGAAGCCTTAGATGGCACTCTGCAGCTCCCTTATACCGAACTGCTCAATAGTGTTCAGGTAATGACTGGGGCAAGGAGAAGTCTCAGAAGGTTTGGGCAGACCAAGAAATCAATAGAAAGTTTTCCACTTGGAGACTTTCGCAGGATGTAGAGAAGAGAAAGAGAATGACTGGCATCCTTCAGCCATTTGTCTTTAAGAATCAGATGATAGTTGAAAAATTTTCAAAATTCTGAAAAGAAATTACAACACTCCCCATATGTAGTCCTATTAATGTTTGACGTCACGCTTAACACAGAAATGCTACAAACACTCATATACACGTACATATACACTATATTCCATTACAAAGTCGTCAGCTATAGCAAACCAATTATAAACCGTGATGCATAAAATTCTTACACAATCAGTAATTTGTAGTTAAATAAATATATGTATACACTGCCCTGCACGTACACATACATACACACATATGTATGTATAATTACATTTCGTCACAAGCAACACTCCAAGCGGGCGAGATAAGGTGCTGAGTTGTTGGCAATGAAGGGCGTTGGGTGAAGTCTCAACGAAGTTTGCTAATTAGTGACATGAAAAACAACAAACAACAAACAAAAACTAAGCGGAACATAAATATGTAGTATATAGGAACCCGATTTTGCATAAGAATTTTAAGAGGCTTGCATATTTGTAACTACCGTGCCCATTCGTCAGCCCTGCCTAGCATTG